TAATCATTTAATAAAAAGCAATTCACAAGTATTTAACATTATAAAGGGATCTGTTATGGTTAAATTAGCATTTTTATTCTGTTATCAATATATGTACACTATTTTTAAAATTTTAAAATCATATTTATTGTACCAGTAACAATAGTTGATGTTCATATAGTACTTTATAGTTTAAGGAAAGTTCATATGTATATGGCTTCATTTAACTTACTGTAGTCTAATCTATTAGAACTATTGATATTACAGATAATCTTAGAAAAACAATACCACAAATTCAGACTTTCATATGGTCACTTGGTATTACATGCCAGATGTTTTTCCAAGCAAAGGTGTAAGTTTACAAACAATGAGGTATGACTTTCCATAGATGTTAAAATCTTCATTGTTAATAACTGTATGTACTAGTCTAGTTAGTTAAGTCAGTACCTTGATGATAATTTAATATAAAATTAAATTAACAGGCATATAGATAATATTCAATAATTGAATCATAATATTATAATTGTTTTTCCTCTCTAAAAAGAACATATCTTTGAGATTTTGAACTAATACTTACCAATTGAATCATAAAATTTTATTTATGTTTTTCTTCCTCAGAAGGAACATAATCTTCAAGTTTTGGGTCTGGTGAAATCAGATGAAGGGTTCTATCAGTGCATTGCTGAGAATGATGTTGGAAATGCACAAGCTGGAGCCCAACTGATAATCCTTGAACATGGTAAGAGGGACTGAAATAGTTAAGATGAAGAAGGCTATGTGTTTGAGGAATTCATACCTGTCAGTCCAGGATACCTCATGATTGATAACCTGTTTGTAAAGGCCAAGGTGTGGCATAACTAAGAGAAAAAGAATAGCAGTCTAAATGACTTCAGTTGAATAAAATTACCTGGAAATACAATTTTGGATAATATTGGAAAGAAACTTGTACTAAGAAAAACTAAAAAATTATAGAATCTTACACAAATGAATGCTTTTTAGGGTTCAGTCATTTTAATCTCACAAATATATTTCTGCCCTAAAAAGAAAAACTTCTTAAAGTAGTGATTATTTTACATTGAAATTTTCTTCAGTTTTTCCAAAATAAAATTAACTTCCCTTTTCTGATGGTCACTCAAAAAAGTGCTTATTATTTAAAAATTCAGACAGCTTTAAAAAGTGTAAAGAAAAATTCACCCTGTTTATAAAATCAGGGGAAACCACACTATGATATGAGCAGGAAAAGTATAATATAAAGAATTATTAACTACAGTGGGACTGGAGTAACAAGGGTTTGGCTAGTAAGAAGTAAAGAGTACTGTAAAAAATATAAGAATGGGAGATATAAGGAACTACAACTCCTAGGTCTAAAATAGAGTGCCCAGGAAGAGGCCCCCTCTTAGGGCTGAGATCCAGACCCTGTTGGAGAGGATGTTTACTGGATGGCAGAGAAGTTGATGTGGTGCTTTGCTGTCTAAAATTGCTCAGAATTCACTCTCTAGGATGCTGGGAAATCTGTTCACAGAGAAGTGTGTCACTGGAGGTATGCTGCTACAAAACTACCCAAGGGGTCAGGTGTTGGGGGAAGCTGATAAGTATGGGAGCCAGCCAAGGCAGCACACTGGAACTGGGAAGGAAACTCCTTTCTTCTGTAACATATCTTCAGCACCCGGTACTGAAGAAGTTTAATACATGTGCTAGCTGGCAGAGGAAAAATATATAAAGGGCCTGGCTCCATTTTTTGCAGAGCAAGCAATGAAATCTGAATTTGGAGCTGAGAACAGTAAATTGATAACTGGCACATATCCCAATTCCTACCACCTAAGCGTAGTGTATATGAACACTTACAGATACGTATATGGTTTTATAACCTTGATTTCTTGCAACAGCATGCTGTACACATCTTTCTATGTTAACAAATACAGATCTGCATCAACATTATTTATATATGTATTAATACTTTATATAACTGATTTCATACTGGTTAACATTTAAATTTTTCTCCTGTTATTTGCCATTTGAACAATGCTGTGTTGAACTCTTCTGTATGATTGTTTTCTCATACTGAATTAACTAAAAGTTGAATTGTTGTATAACAGTTTTGTGTTAAATTGATAAGGGTACCCATTGGATGCATTATTTATTTGTTTTTAGAAACTAAAGCATTTTTCATTTTGAGCATTTCTCAAGAATACGTGAAAAAGATACCACTTTAGACACTTTTATCTAAGTCAAATATGGTCAGGTTCTGGTGTGGTTCCAGAAGGAATTTCTCTGACATCTATTGTTTGGCCAGAGGAGCTAATTGGCAAAGATGGCACCTACTCTGGCTTTTCACTAAAATAGCATATACATAGGATTTTTATGTGCTGTTTTTTTTTAAAAAATACTTGATATTACTGTTATAAAAAGGCATAAAATATTAGAACTGCTTTTTTCTTCCTGTGTTTGTCTGTGATTATATCCTTCCCCACTTATTGGAAATGGTTTTAGTAGAAGCATAACACTTTTCCATCTTAGCACAATGCCTAGGTACAATTATTAAATAAGGCACCAGCAGAATCAGTGAGGTAAATAGGCTTATTTCTTTTTACTAGTGACAGTGACTTTTCTTAGTAAACTTTTGGTTCTCTCGTTTTTATTTACTTGGAATTAAACAAAGGGACTTCAGTATATTTGTGTTTAGGATTACCTTTAAAATCTAACTCCAACAGTATAAATGGTTGAGATGGTGCTTATCTTCGTGTACCTTATTTAAAAACAATGCTGAAAGTGTTGAACTGAGTGTGTTTGACATGAAGTCTTTTTCTGCAGGAGTCGTCTTTCGATTCCTGCCTGAAGCGTGTGGCTGTGTATACTGGCCGCCAGCCTGCCTGCTAGTGCTTGGCTGCAAGAAGGTGCTTTCGAGCACCCACAATTGACCTGTGATAATTAAGTTAATTATCACCTTTGAAGATTAAATGAAATTTCATAATTATAGTTAAAATGTATAAAACATTTTTACAACATCAGCAGAAAACAGAATTTCTGACCAAATTGGGAAGTAGAATTTGAGTTTTGTTTTGAACTTGCCTTCTTAATCAAAACATTTAAAATACAGCTTTTAATACTTAACTTCATTTTGATGCATTTTCAGTAATGGCAACTCCTTTGATTTTAGAAGATCTCGCGTCTTTTAAAATATTTAACTGGACATAAAACAGTATTAGTTTTATTTGCTGCCATTTCAAATTAATATTTCCTGTCATTTATGCTAAAATCCTTTGTTTTTTATAGTCATCTATTGAATGATATTTTCAAAAAAAGCATTGGCATATAAATTATTGTAGATATGTTAAGAGTAGTAGGAATTAAGGTAAAATATCTGTTTTTGTCCATTAACTTTTTATTGGCCTTTCTTCCTGTCAGTGTGAATTTAAAAATAGATTGCAAAGTTATTATGTAAGACTAAAATGTAAAAACACAAATATGATTTTTCTCTTTATTTCCTTTCATACCAAGTCTGATAATTGGTAATCTTTTTACTTCCCGGAAGGGAAGAAGTGTTGGTGAAAAGGGAGTAACATGAACTTGTTTTTAGTAAAGGAAATTCATACTTCACCAACTCATTAAATTACTTCTAGGATATTATGGCCGTGATAGATAAGGATACATATTGAGCATTCCCCACCCCTTTTTTGACAGAAACATTTGTCAAACATTCCATATAGTATCTGAGGTTAGTATTGAATAATAAAGTTATGGAATAAGTGACTAATGGCCTGGCATGATTAAAGTTGGCTAGATAGCAGGAAGAAATTATTAGTCATTAGTGGAATATTTTAAATCTAAAGTACTAGAATGTACAATAGTTGGTGTTGGTATTAGGATAAATTCTAGTCAGTTATTTTGCTTTTTTATGGCAGTAATTATAACTTTAGGAAAAGTTTTACTCGTGATAACTGTGGTGTAATTTGACTTAATCATGAATTCCATGTCTAGGAACTTTCTAAGATTGAAAATGCATCTAACCAGTCAATGCCTGGGTGCTAGTTCATGCCTGCTAGTAACTTACTGAATGATTGGATCATGTAGTGAAATTCTGCAATTTTTTATTTTCTGTAAAATGAAGGAATTAAATTCAGTGATCTTTTAGGTCCCTTATCATCCAAATATCCATTTTTGCAGTTGTTTCAGAAATACATACATTCAACATAAGGTGTGTTTCAGACACATCTCTTTCTGTCTAGGTATTGAAATGTTGAAATAGATTTATTGTTTACAAGTATATTGAGGCATTTCCAGTTAATAATTTTATGTTACCTGCCATAATGTGTATAACGAAACAAACCTTGTGCTAAAAATTCTGAAGTATTGGATTCATGTCCCAGTCCCACTGTGGATGAGGTGATTAACCTCTCTGGGCATCATTTTCTTTACCTGTAAGTGTGAACAATGATCTCTGCACAGCACACCTATGAGGAGTAAATAGGGTAATATATGTAAAGCATTTTTATAAATTTTAAGTACTCTGTGACTTTAGGGTAATAGTAATTTGAAAGAACATAAAAAGGCAAAGCACCCATGGGAATTCAATAGTCAGCATTAAATTAAATTAAAATGAAGATAAAAGGTTAATTTCATGAAGTTTGAAGATTTTTTTAAAAAATAGACTGCAGAAGTCCATATAATATTCAGTTAAATCATTTAAATTTGCAAAACAAGAAAATAATCTTTATATGACCAGATTGCCAGGCATCTGAAATGGCCTGGTTAAAACTAAAATTGCACTAAAATATTTTAAAATAAACATAACACATGTTCATTATCAAAAATGCTTAATTGCCTGAAGCAAAAGTAAATTTACTTTTTTAACCCTTCCCCTAATCTCACTTTCTAGAGATAACCTTTGTCAACAAACATGATCTGTATATTCCTTCAGTAAAAGTCTGTTGAGCAAAATTCTGTATGGTATGTACAATTCTATATTCATTGTGCTAAGTGGTAGGGATGAAATAGCTAACAAGCAAACATGATCTTCTGCTGTTACAGTGCTCAGATTCTATTAGCGGAGACAGACATAAGCAAGTAAATGAATAAATAAAATAATTACAGCTTTTATGTCTACTTACAGGAAATGAAAAGAATGCTCTGATAAAGAATTATTAGGGATAGAATGGGAGTTACTTTAAATACGGTAGACAGGGTCTTTCTGAAGCAGTGATATTAAAGTTGAGACCTCAAGAATTTAAAGGAAAAATTTTTATAAAACAAACAAAAAAAGAGCGAAGCAAAGGAAATATTCTAGATGGAATGGGATTAAAGAGACATGAAAACTAAAAAAATAAATAAATGAAAAGGAACCTATATGTGTGTTTTATACTTACGTATGCATATACTCACATTCACGTATAGACATTTTATTTGCAAAAGTGAAAACATGTTTTTCTGTGACTTTTTAAAACAGTACTTTGTGGACATGGCAGTATTTAGAAGTTTATCTCATTTTTTTTTAACTGCTCTAGCCTCATCAGACTAGAGTATGAGGAAACTTGTGTTTTTGAGTTCTTAATAGCAGTGTAAATTTTTTTGAAATGCATCTTAAAAATTTAGAATTCATCGACCCTTTTTTTAAACAATCCTATTTATAATAATTTATCTCACAGATATATTTACCAAGTATTTAAAGATTTATATATTAGACTAGCCTCAATCTGGTTATAGCCTAATCAATACAACCAATAATGGGGATAGTTAAATACA